AACTAACAACGATACCTAGCTTTACTAGATCAGAAGCAAGTACTGCAGATGACTAGCGATCCCCCTTGCTCCTTCCAGAAAAGGAAGTTTTCTGTATTCTCTAGACCTGAAGATACAGCTCAATCTTCCCCAAGTGCTTTCATGACGGAATAAAGAGCAAAGACGAAAAAAATATTTCCTGACAAAATCACTGGGGCAAACCCCCATAAGCTGCCTGAAGCTTCTCAAGGACTTGGAAAGTTTGAATTAACCTCTGGCTAAAAAATGTGCTGTAATACAGACAAAAACCAAATAATCAATAATTCAAGCATTATTGTGTTCTTTGGAGGATCCATCTACCAGACACGTGTTTGTCACTCTTACAGTGTTCAGTGTAATCACCCATCACGGAAACTGATGTCCCACTTAAAAGATCAAATCTACAAACTACTCACGCAAACAGTCGGTCCCCAGAAAGAATCATCAGTAAAACTGTATTTGCCAAATGCTAAGACAACATGAAAATAAATATGTACTTTTACTGTTGGATGCAAATCTTTACATTGTCTTTAAACTTACTAGTATTGTAATAAAACTACATTTTTCAATTTTAAATCTGCATTTTTCCTGCAACAGTTTAACAACTTAATTTCTGTAACGCAGCTCCACTATAAGATTAGTCTTCCTCTTAAAGAATTGTTTCTAGTTTTTTCTGCTTATCTTCTCACTGAAGATCATTTTTTCCATTGTTTCTTTTTACCACATATTCCTCTTTAAGACAAAGTTTAACATAGAATCATAGAATGGTCTGGGTTGGAAGGGACCTTAAAGATCATCTGGTTCCAACCCCCCTGCCATGAGCAGGGACATCTTCCACTAGACCACGTTGCTCAGAGCCCCATCCAACCTGGCCTTGAACACTGCCAGGGAGGGGGCAGCCACAGCTTCTCTGGGCAACCTGTGCCAGTGCCTCACCACCCTCATGGGGAAGAATTTCTTCCTAACAGCTAATCTAAGTCTGCTCTCTTTTAGTTTACAGCCATTCCTCCTTGTCCTATCACTACACACCCTTGTGAAAAGCGCCTCTCCATCCCTCCTGTAGGCCCCCTCCAGGTACTGGAATGCTGCTATAAGGTCACCCCGGAGCCTTCTCTTCTCCAAACTGAACAGCCCCAACTCCCTCAGCCTGTCCTCGTAGGAGAGGTCCTCCAGCCCTCTGATCATCTCTGTGACCTTCCTCTGGACCCGCTCCAACACATCCATGTCCTTCTTACGTTGGTGGCTCCAGAGCTGGACGCAGGACTCCAGGTGGGGTCTCACAAGAGCAGAGTAAAGGCACAGAATCACCTCCTTCGACCTGCTGGCCACACTTCTCTTGATGCAGCCCAGGATAGCATTGGCCATTAGTAACTGACTTCAGCCAGACCACCCTCCCAAACATCCAGAACATCAAGATTTGATTATGTTGGGTAATTTCTGTTTTGGATTCCTTGGTACCATTGAAAGAGTTAGAAACAACAGCTTTGCTACCCATTACAGTTCTTTGCTTAGTCTATATTACAGATAGTATTTCCCTTCCTACTACTACATTCATTTGATCCATAAACCTTGACATTAGCTTAGTATTGACCTTGAGACTTCCTCCCCACCCCCGACTCCCATGTTTTACCAAATGAAAACATGCTTTGAAGCCCACTTAGATTTTTTTAAGACCATAGTTTTGTGTTCTGGATAGCTTTTTCATTTCTTCAAAAGCAAATTATACAGCCTGACATCACCTAGCTTTACTGAAACTAATAATCTGACATTTCTGCAGATATTGTAGATTTTGGAAGTTTTCAATGCAGCTTATAGCCTTTCTGCTCTTCTCTTGTAATTCTTCTTAAAAATTACACTTGTCCTCTTACTTGCCCACAAAATAATGAAATTATTTGCGCTCCAAGCCCTGAACTACTGAGAACCTTTCTATATGTTCAAAAAGCAACATCTGCATTTTCCGCAGTTTAAAAATAACTTTTCTCCATTCCTCTGTTGTTCCTAGCAGAAACAAACACATCCAGGAGCGCAGTTTTAGAAAATTCTAAAAGCTTGTCTGTTACTTATTTAATAATACTGCCTAGTAGCCCTAGCCTGCAATTAACAATCCCCATCACAGTAAATATGCTCAGCAAGAGAGATCATCACCCAAGAGACAACAGGAAGGTAAAGAAAACCACAAGGTCAGTCAGGTACCGTGTACAGCTGTGAATACAAACCATAGCACAGCAGGACGGGAGCAATTACAAGTTTATACCTGAAATGAAGAGAGGAAACACCAAAAAAAAGCATGGATTTCATACCAATTCTTTTTCAGTATATTTTTTTAAAAAATGCCAGCAGTGTGCCCAAATTAAAGATCTGCCTCAATATCCCAGCTTATACATATGTACTTCGACTCCAGTTCTGCTTTGGTGTTAACGGTCTGTTAAATGGAAGATTTGTATTACTATGCTGTATCATGTCTACCTTCCCTCTTTTAATCCTCTGGGAGATACCTAAAGGCTACAAGGTAACATTACTTTTTTGAGGCTGCTTTTTTTTTTTTTCCTCTTAATTTATTATAAAAACAGTCTGAACTCACTTTGAAAGATCAGTATCGTTCATATTCAATTTCATATTAGCAGTCTGAAGAACCATCTCATCTTCGATTTTGATAGATTAGTTTAATGCAGACATTATAAGCAGCAAAAATAAGACAAGATAAAAAACTTTTCATTGGCTGAGATTTTACTTAATTTAGAGGTAAAACCAGGAACTCCTTGTGGATGTAAGTGTTCTGATAAAGAACCTTACAAACTAAACTTGCAAAACATTGGACTCTTGAATGAGGATATGCTAGGAAAGCTGCAAGTGTGTATGAGTTAAGCAAACAATATTACCACATATAAGCACTTCCACATATAAACCACCGAACAGATAAAGTACTGACACATTTTTAGTTTGAACTTAGCTAGATAGCAATCAACCTCTCTATTAGTGTAGCTGTACATTACGGCACAGGATGACACTAGAAACATGCACAAAACATCAATAATTGCATGGCCCATTGACTGAAACAAAGTAACAAACACAGGCATCTATTTCACAGAAGTCCAAGATCCCTGCTTTGAAGTTTTTCAGTGATCCCTGGTGTATTTTTAAATGTCCTCTTTCTCCTAAACAGCAAAAGACTCCACAACAATAGGTGTTTATACCACCCTTTTTTATTTTTCAGCCAGAAATACAGTTTCATAGGGTATTTCAATACACAGTGGTGGTTATTCCTTAAACAAAATCCCCATCTCTTTGGCATCTGACCGTATTCTGTTTTTCAAACTAAAGACTATATAGGAAGATTTTACTTTCAAGATCATTGTTCAATACGCTAAATTTACACAGATGTAGTTAACTTTTAAAAATACACATCGGTTTGTTGCAAAGATTCTAATAAACCTAAAAAAAAGACAACCAAACCAGCAAAATGCATACTACTGGGCTGACCTCATTTACAACTGTGGAGTGACAGAATGAGAACTCTTTGTTTTCCGCAGTGCATGCACTAACTAGTGCTTTCTACTAATTTTGAATGATAAAAAAACAAACCAAAACTTAATTCTACCCAAAACAAATACTTGTTTCAGAACAATGTGATCTTATTTTTAACTTCTTTGAGGGTTGGACTAGATGACCCACAGAGGTCCCTTCCAAACCCTACCATTCTGTGATTCTGCGATTCTTCTGCAGAGATCATCAGCCAAAACCAAGTCGCACCCTGCTTCACTTAAAGATTGCACCTAAAGTCTGAAAACTATTTTTCATTTTTAAACATAAGTTACTAAAATGTTTTAAATACATCTAGAAATACAGCTGTCAAAACTGCATTTGACTTGGACAAAAAATTCTTAAGTAACAAAGTAAGCCAGTGTATTCAATCTACTCTGTTGAATAATCCAGGATCATCTCTTCAATGCTGATACAGAAATACCTCACTTGCACTCCCAGTTAAAAAAAAAAAAAGGTCTTCCAGATCTCAACTGATCAGTGCTCCAAATCAGCTCAAATCAACTGAATCTCCAAAGCGATGCTCTAGTTGTTTGACACCTTCCATTACCATACACAATACAGAAATCACGAATCTAAATAAAAAAAAAAAGTATTGACATATCAATGCAGAAATTCCAGTGTATTTACTGGAATCTGAAGTCAACCCTTGTTTATGTGTCAAGACAACGTAAAAAATAAATCCCACTAACAAAAACCAAAAAATCCTCACCCCCAAAATGGTTTGGTTTTAATAACCCAAATATGTATCCTGAACAAGTTTTATAGAACAGAGGAGGCAGAGCAATTGTTTCCATGCAGATCCTAAGAAATAATTTAATAGGATTCAAGTAGCAAAGGTTTGTTTTATGAGTGAATCTCTCATCATCAGTGCAAGTGCAGTTTGAAAATGTTTAAATTGGATTGTGTAAATATCAAGTGATCCAATTTAGCCAAGGTCACTCTACTCTCCATAATGTAAAAAAATAATACATACATTTTACTGTAGAATACAGGAACGAAAAGTAAAACCAAAAAACCTTCTAAACTTGTGTACTTATCCAAGAGCAGTTTCTAACATCAAGCCAAAATTAGCAACAACCAAGCAGACATTACCAATTTTTCAGTGTTAAATTACTGTAAATACTAGATCTAACTATACACAAAAAAAAAAAATCCAAAACCCAAAAATCAAAACTTTTTTTTTTTTTGCTAAAAGGTGTCCAAAGAAATATCCACCAGTTGCAGTCAAAGTTGCATCAGAAGCTGCTTGCTCAGGAAAGATTTCTCCCTCTGAGTATTTGTAACATGCTGCATTGCCAAGATTCTATTCAAATAAATTACTTTCTGATAACATTTAGCTGATACAACCACCTACAATGTGGACAGTCATGTACACAGTACAACAGTGGATTTTTGCAGCAGCAGAGAAATAATCAGAAATTGGTTCTAAATTCAACATCTCATGTGTTATTTCTTGCAAACATACGGTCCCCTCTAAGAGTAAGATGTTGGAGCTGGTATTGTAGCACTTCTGTGTCAGCAGGTTCCTTAATGCTCATTTTATCTAAATTGAGGTAGTCCAGGGATTTTGAATGAGCCCTTTTACCTCTTAAAAGGCAAAGAGGCAGGGGACCATGAAGTGCCTTGTAAGGTTCACATGGTAAAGCCTTAGTGCATTTATCCCCTGAGCTGGGCATCCGTCTCCTTCTCCTTCCATTTACTGCTGGGATCTCATATGGCTGATAGTACCTACTTCTGGTTTTGTACACACGGGACGAACGTGTAAGTCCTGAATCAAGCTGTTTGGAGCGCAAGTTTGGCCCAGATTCCCCTTTATTCTCTTCACTTCCTGTACACTTCTGGGCTAATTTTAGCAGCTCCTCTCCGGTCGTGAAGCCAACCAGGTAGTTAGAATCCATGTGAAGGATCTGATATCCCGCAACCGTCCGTCGCATTGGTGAGCAGGGCGTACTGGAACAGCGGGGCTTCTCTGCTTCCATCCTGCTCACAGCGCCCACCTCTGCAAGAGGCACCGGGAGGGTGGATAGGGTAGTTCTGGACTCTCCATTTATGTCAACTTCCATTTTAAACACAGTGCTATCCTCCTAAAAATAAAACAGAGCTTGATCAGAAATAGAGCCTCTATGCAAAAGAAGAAGCTGAGAGAGGAGCGCAGAGATGGCACTTTGTATCACCCAGAAGCCATGACCAGTATTTCTCTATTCAGCCTTGTCTTATGCTCTGCAGCATGTTGTGTAACAACACTATCGTTGACATCTGCCTTTTAAAATTATCTTTGATGGTTTTTTAATAAAAGATAACATAAATATACTCCTGATATTCTTAAATGTTAAAAACAATCTTGAGTTGCATTGTACACAAAGAAGCATCTACCCACTCTGTATTTTCATTCTTTTAGTCCATTTGATTCCTTACAGCCCCTCATCTCTCGAAGCCATCTACATCCATCAGCACAACCACATCTTCCCCCATATTCAGCTGTCTATTTCTTCTATTGACTGTAACCTCAGTAAACAAGGCTTTTAAAAAATATGCCTAACAGCTACTATCTCATTCAGACACGACCATGGACCAGACCTCACCTACTGAGGGCACTGCAAAGCTTCCCTCTTCCAGATGTGAAGGCAGCTTGCTTTAGATTCTAAGAATGGCATCCTGGCTGTTCAGCACCTGTCTTTATAGGTCATCAGCAATACTTGCTCCCTCCCCCCCCCCCAATCTCTTTTCCACCACTCCCCCCCCCAATCTTCTTACTCACAATCAACCAAACTCATACTATTTTATTCTAATACATTTCTAACAAAGGAAACCACACACTAGCGTTTAATGAATATAGCATAAGATTCTCATAAGCATCTTGAGAATAACCAAAATTTTGAATTCTATGGTATTTATTTGTTTTTCTATTTCTTTTGGAAACAGACTATTTTTCCATGACCTTTCTTTCCTCAACAATATTCCAAATACACAGTTTGATGCCTTTACAGGCAGAACTGTCTGCCAGAAGACACTACCATCTCTAACATGGAAAGGTAAGGTCAGTATCACAGCAAGCATACACCAGTGGATGCAAGAACACAAAGAAGACTCAATTATCTTCATTTCTTTGTTTTCAGCATCATCTACACCATTTTGGTGACAAAGCTACTTCACAAAATAGAAAGGTAACATTTGTTTCCAAATACATGCTTCCTTCATTGTCAGCCTCACCTTTGCTCTAAACAGTAGCTAGTGACTCTCTAGTCAGTATTGTTCACAAATAATTCAGCATAGCTTTGTAATGTTTAAAGGCAACGATACTCAAAGAAAGGAAAGTTGGTATGCAGGTGTCAAGCAGAAACACAATTCTGAATTTCACTACATTTGACTGCAAACCACATTCAAAAGCTCAGTTATGTTTCACAAATGAGACTGACTTAAAACATGCCATTACCAGCTTGCAAACTTTTAAAGCTGCTGCTTGCTGTGATTCTGAGGCTTGCGAGGTCACAGGCTGAGTAGCAGAGATGCAATAAGCAAGGGAACACTTTACTCAAACTTCTGAAATTAGACACCCCAAAAAATCCTCTCAAGATCAATCTCTATGCATTTGTCTTAAAACAAGAGAGGAAGCTGAGTGCAAATCTCACTTGCAAAAGGAAATAATCTAGCCTGATGCAAAACTTAAGTCCACATTGCTTCTGTTCAGGGACTGGGAAGGAGCAGTTTAAGTAACGTCCCCACCTCTGTTTCCCTGCTTAGTCTCCAATCAACCTGCTGCTCCCATGCCATTCTAACAAACTAGGAGTAAACAAAATCCCCATAGTTTTGCTGAAGAGGATTTTATTTGCCATTGACAAACTTCTATTATGGAGAGGCTATTACTAATGTTCCTTTAGTCTTAAATGTCCTTTTTAAGTTCTCACAATCGCTGTGTACTTAGGATTCTTCATTACCAGTTTTGTGTAGTATCGCTTTTACAGATACACAAATACACTTCATCCAGTCATCTTTCAAGTATTTTGAATTTAACAATACAGGCAACACAGCAAAAGCTAAATAAAGAATTAAAGTACTAAAACAAACCAAACACCAAAATTTTTCACAGAGGAAAACATTCACATAAAACTCAAGAATGTTGCCCATTATTTTTAATTGACTTTGAAATATGTTTATGGAGTCAATTAAAACTTTCAGAATAGCAGAAGCAGCTGTTGTTTCTTACTTCAGCACCATATCTAGCAGTGAGAAAATAATATGGTGAGGTTTCACCTACTGAGTTAAAGATATTCACGACAACGCCTTAAGTAGAAATTATAGTTTCAGTGCCATCAGGAACATGATTACTGGAGGCACAGCACAGAAGAATTTTGTATTAAAACTTCAGGCTACCCTGTGCTTTTAGCCGAGAAACCTCAATACTTAACTGTTCTTTTAATTCCTGATTTTTACCCTGCAGTTCAGAAATCTTTCTAGTAATCTTCCAGAAGGACTCAACCCATTCTGTTAAAAAGCTGAAATGCTAGAAAAAGTATCAATAAAATAGTCATACACTGACGTTACAGATGGATCATATTATCTAGTCACATATAAACAGCAAAAACCAAAAAAGAAAAAAACCACCACACACCACCAAAAAAACCTGACAATCACTTGCCATAGCAATACAAGCCCTAAGGAAAGGGATGGCGGAAGATATGTCTTTATGCACTTTTTAAGTTAAAAAAGTCTTGAGAACTGGAAAGTAATATAAAGGCTCTTCTTGGAACAGCTTTTACAGTGATGTCTGTATGAAACACAGGTGTGTGCCCTGGTAACAAATCAACTTTGCAGGACAACTACAAGCAGCATGCAGGGAGGCAGAAGCCCACTGCCTAACAATTACCCCTCACTGGCCCAAAACAGCACAGAGAAAAATCAGAGCAGAAAAGCCTTCAAGTCTGCAAGCTCCAGTCTAGTACTACAGCCTGGAAGTGCAGAACTTCCATTTCTCTGCTTCAGTGCAAAGAACAGCTCTAAACCTAAGAAATTCGACAGACACTCGAAAGCAACAGAAGCATCAGAAGCTGGTGCCATAAATAGCAGAAGCTTAAGGTAACAGCACTGCTAGCTGGCAAGAGGAATGGCTGGCCAGCTCCACAGGCAGAGGTCCAAAACTTAGCATGTATGTGTTCAGCTGTTCTTCCCCAAGACTTTCAATGCGAGCTACTCAAGCTGCCATATGGCTTCAACACACTTTGTCTCCTTATCTGGTAAAAAAAGATTGAGAAACATTTTCAGACAACTTTTATAAAAGAAAAATCATTTGAGAGGTTCACAGTATCTATGAGTGTATATACCACTAACTACAAATACATATTTGAAACTTTTAGACTGCATTTTAGGTCATTTCTGTGGTTATAAGGGCATTAGAGGACCACTCTTACTTTCACTGCCGTGTAGTGGTGTAAGCTCATCAGCAATTCTCAGCATCAGTTAAAATACTGAGGAAAACAGTCCTTCGGTTCAGAAAGACTGTTTCTTCAGATGACAGCTGCCTTGTCTTCTTGCTTCTCAAAGAGAATGACAACTGAGTGATGCCAATTCAAGACAATTTGTAATTTAAGATTTACTATAGAATCAAAACAAGCAGAAGAGGAACAAGATTGCATATGTTTTTCTTTGCTGCTGCTTCACACATTTAAAAAGTACAGAAAGTAACTGTTACCAAGAGGATTCTCCTGACTGATACACGCCAGAAGTGCTTCCAGATCACTATTCACTTCTTTGAGATTTTAAAGATTTTATTGATTCTCTTTATAAGGCAGGCTCTGCACATAAGTTAATCTGACTCAATCCAGCTAAATGTTGAGAAAACTGTCTAAAACACAGAAAACTGTCTAAAACACAGAGAAAAGGAACAATGAGTAGAAATACTAGGATAACTACTATAAATCATTGTATTACCTCAAAGAATAAATTAATATGCTTGGGATAGTTCTTCAAGGGTAAAAATATCAAAACCTCCACATTTTGCAAATACAATGGCTTGTGAACAAGTGAAGCATTAAGCCCTTCAGCAATCCAGTATACTGGACAACAAATACCATGTGGTTTATACAGAAAAAGGAATTATGAAATGTTTTGCAAAAGATTAAATCAATTTCTAATACTATGTTCCTACTGCAAGAAGCAAGAACTATTTAACCACTTCGTTAATCTTGTTATTACTGCAGCTTTAAACAGAAAGTAATTATGATCCAGGAAACTACCTGTTAAAAATTAAGAGGATGACAAATTAGATACTGAGGAACTACAACTGCCAACTCCAGCAACTAGCTCGTCCTGCAAACGAGACAGCCAGCAGACCAGATCAGCACAACAGAGCATACAATTTACACAGAAGAGAGACAGATGGAATTTCAAGAGTAGGTCCAGGCTAATGAATTTTGTATGAGCAGACTTAGCAAGCAGGGAAAGCAAAAGAAAATGGTGGGAAAGAAGGCCATTTAACTTCTAACATCTCTTTGCCAAGCAGTATTAGATGGAAGTGCGTAACAGGGTAACTTCTCTGAAATATTTAGAGTCCTTTAAATAAACAACGTGACTTCCTTGCTGGATGGAATCACAACTGAATGCTTCTCCCTCACTCCATCATAAAGCTGATGCTCCTGGCCAGCTTAAAGATAGCTGTTTACTATCGTTACTCATTAAAAGACGAAACAGTGAGACACATGTAAAAAAGCTGATGGATATTGTAAAACAAATCATTTTTATTCTTTAGTTGGTTAGTAAGTAAAAAAAAAAAAGTTTTCTTTATAATTGCATTTCATTTCTCTGTATTTTTGATTGTCATCTCACCAACCAAAATTTAAGTTTCATTTTCAAACTTCTCTTTTCTTCAGTTTCAGGTTAGTCCACTTGCAAAAAAAAACAACAAAAAAACCCATGCCACAACCTGACTTGTCAACAAAAATTAAATTGCTGTCTTTAAAGTAATGGGGGGGGGGAAGCAGAGTTTTTAAAGTATTACGGATCGGATTTCACTGAATAAATACTGATTTTTGTCTTTAAAAAACAAAATGCTAATGGGAATACGGGTTTC